TCAGACAATTTAATATTTCCAAATGTCACCTGAATCCACAAAGAACTCCACTAAATGAACATGCCTACAGGCAGAATGAAATCCTGCTGAGTATGGTGACAAGTTATAAAAGAGTTAAATTAATGAACAGTTGCAGCAACTAACCTTTGTCAGAATGAATGGATTCATTAAAAAAAGTTTCCTTCTACTTGTGAAATTTCCATGTATTTGAAAAGCATGTCAAACTACAGCAAACAAGTTAAATGTTTTTGTATCTTGTAATGAAAGGAAAATTGTTACTCTCTGTAGTTAAGTGCAAAATTAATAAAAAGTATATATACTTCATACATAAATGGAAAATACTGAGAGAAACATTTTCAAGACTGACTATAGCACCTGCCTTTGGTCATCCATCAGACATGCTTAAGCCCCACCAAGTGAAGATATATAGTTAACACCTATAAGTTAAGCATTTGTATTACTTCTTAAGACAGAGGCTTCAGAATCTGTTACCTCAAAAGATGCTGAGATTCATCCTAGTGACAATTATAGTTACTACTGTCCAAAGATTATAAAGTCTAGATCTCAAGGATCCAAACAGGAAGTCAAGCAAAATCAGACAGTGCTGGGACTTAATGACTAAGTGATCCACACAGAGATATAAACTATATATAGTTCAGATAGGCAAGGATGGGGAACCAGCGGGGCTGATATTGTTCAGKTTATTTCTTCCAGTCTGTCGCCATTTTCTTTCTCCATTATTACCAACAATGCTACAATACACTCCTGTGCAGCCTTCTGAAGACTTCTGAAGGCCATGTACCTCTCAGCAGAGCAAGAATGAGACTCAAGAAAGTATTTAAATCTACAGAAATCAAGGAACAAACATCTACAGGTTTCTGTGAGTTCTGGATCAAACCCTGAGTGAGCAGGACCTTGACTAGTCCTCTGGTTGCAGAATTGTAGAGTTCTCCCATCCCAGCCCATCTACTCTATTACCCTATTATAAAAATACGAAATGAACATTCAACATGTAATTATTTTTAAGTTACGGTGACAGCACTTGTTTGCCAGAGATGAACAATACATCTGACTGAATTATTAATCTCTACACATCTCATTCCAAGGAATGTAAGGAAAAAAAAAATATATGTACTACTCAAATACAGTTAGACCATTGCAAAGCACACAGCCAATATATCATCTAAAAGAGGATGAGGATGTTACCTCTTTCTAGCAAGTGCAATTCACCACATAAGGAAGTATATTTTTGATGATCCTAAATCAAGCTTCCAATAGGGAAGATTTTAAAATATTCTTGTATTGTAACAAAATGTTCCCAGTGGTGTTGTAATGAAAGAAAGAAATAGAAAAAAACCCCATCTCCTGGCAGGAAATTAATTATTGAGCATTCCACTGCTTGACGACGTGCTCCTACATTCTGTGCAGGCTTTCCATTTTTCTCTCTCAGTATGTGAAGAAATTCAGTGTGGAGAATGTACAAACAGAACAAAGAGCACAAGGATACCAGTTTATTGAATGCATTTAGAAACCGAACAGACCTGGAGAGAGAAACTCAGTTTATGCATCATCACACCTAGTGTTTATTCCCTCTTTACATTCCTCTCTCCTCTTCTCCATTAGATTGTCACTTCAGCTTCTGTTGTCTGAAATCACCTCTGTTGAGAATGGAAGCATTGCGCCTGGCTTTTAGCACCACTTAGCTGACACAGTTTCAAAATGTCATTTCTTTCATTTGAAAAATAAAAGAGAAAATCTCAAATCTTGATGGAAAGGGAAAATAGAAGCCCATCATTATACACCTAAACATGGAAACATAATTCCATTTTTAAAATAATTCTTTTTTTTCCACCTCCAAGTCCAGCCCATTAGGAAATTTCACCCCTTGCTGCCAGTTTTTGTCTCTCTGTGAAAAAAGCTGAAAAACCCACAGAGGCCATAATTGCACCCATTAGTTACATGACAGAACACACAGTTCCTGAGGCTACTTCTGCAGCCAGCACATGCACCTGCAACAATTTGGTGGGATCATACCACTGCAAAAGCATCTTCATGAGAGCAGACACTTCCCTGTAACTGGCATCTTGGATTTTTCCTGGATGTGGAACAACCAAACTAGAGGGGGAAGATGCAACAGACTGAAACACCATATGCCACCTTCAAATAGTATTCTATGTCAGCAATGCTCTACAGCTTAGCTAAGACATAATGAAAAACTTTTCAAGAGAAATGAACAATTTTCACTTTTAAAAAAAAAAAAGCAGAAAGGGTATGGAAAACTACTACAGCAGATGGCTGTATGATTCCTGCAGAAACCTTAATACCAGCTAGGCTGCTCAGGACCCTTTCTCATAGTCATCAGCACTTGGGCTCTTCCATCACCTGCTGGGCAAGGTGGCTTGGACACAGCGTGACTGTACTGCCTCTATCTGCCTTGCACACCTCACATTTCTCAGGCTCTGTGCATCTGCCCAGAAGTCTCCACCTCTGCATGCAGAGGTGCCAGTGTTTGCATGTGTTGTTCATATCTGCAAATATTTAGCTGCTGAGTCCCATCTTCTCCTTACTCCCTTCTGGGCCCATATGAACATGAAGGGTTCCCCAGAGACCAGGAAGCACCTTCACATATGCAAAATGTCCCAGTGAATGGGAGCATTCTGGAGTAAGGAAAACCATCCACTTCATACTCTAAACACAGCTGGCCTTGCACGAGAGCACTGCAGGAACTGGAGTTGCAGTARCAGACAGGGACCTTCACTGTGAGGTCCTTCATGTGGCTCTGGACAGCAGGGCTCTGGGAGGACACTGATGGTGCTGATGAAAACTCTGCATTGACCTCACCTGGTTTTTCATCCCAAACTCTTGACTTTCTGGCACATCAAAGCTGTTATTGATCCTGCAACTGACAGACAATGATACTAGCAATGGTTCAGATTGCATTGTTTTGAAAGGAGAGAATGAATTTTGAATTATAAAGCTGAAGCAAGTTTAACCACTACATATGAGCACAGAGCATATGCTGCCATTTTACAAGAAACTGTTCTGAAGAGAAGCACCATGCTCTGCCACCAAGCTCCCGAGCGACAAAAATCACACTCTTGTGAGTATCAGACTCGCCATCTGTAAAATGTTTTTCATCTCCAGAAGATAATGTGAGAATTATGTGTTACAAATCATATACTTTGTGACAGCTATTATCACTTGCTTAGGAGCAGCATCTTAGAACAAATCTTTTCCTCCCCTGTAAGTGCTCACATGAGGCATAAAACTTCTTAAAAACCTATTTGGTAGTGCAAGCAAGATGATAACTAATATATCTTTCAAATTTTCTCTTGTATGGTAAGAAGGGAACTGTCTTCTTGTATGGTAAGAAGGGAACAGGAGGGCTTTTTCATGAACACAATGTCATTCAAAGGAATTTGCTCTGTAGGATGACATTCTCCTACACAACTATAGGGATTTTAGATAAGGCTGTGTGGATCTAAATGCATTTTAAGTTCCAGAAAGGGAAATTACCTTAACCCTTCTCTCACAAATAACTGAGAGGCAAAATCAAAAAGATATTATTCTTTCTAAGAACAGATTACATTTGTACTCCTTCTCAAAAAATGCCCACGAATTAAGGATTAAATGTGGTTTAATTACTATCGTTTTGAGCAACAAGAGATCAGAGGCAGGCCAGTCATGTTAACACTGAGAATCAAAAGAGACTGAGACAGAAGCCAGAAATGCAGAACTTCAATGTAATGAGAGACTGTCAAAACCCAAGGGGAGCGCAACCTGGAATCAACAGTCCTGACTGTACTCAAAATCTGAATTTCAGAGGTTAGGATGATGMAGATCAAAATGCATGTGCAGTGACCCCATCAGCAGCCAACTGCATTAATACATTAGGGCTGAAATAATGGCTAATTTGACTCTCTTTTCTGATAAATTATACATCTTCTATAATCAATCCAAACCAAAACTAATTTCCAGCAATTGCACTGCTCTGCCAGTAGACAGTGCCTTAATATAATTATGCATAGACAGGAAGAGATAATGACCTCTGATTCAAGTCTACTGTTTAATGGAACATGAAGATACATCGCAGTATTATGTGAGCTATTGATTAAGATCAGTATGCTACATTAAACAAGTTGCTCTCCAATAAACCACTGCTGTTTTCTCCTCTTCCATCGACTCTTGCTGTCCAAATACGAGGAGTTACCTGGTGAGGGGCAAACATAACTTTGGAGGAGCTACTACATTGATACCRATCTATATTCAGAGCCAGGTATTTGTATCCCTTCCGCCAGCACAGCCTGTGGCAGAATAGGAGAGCATCTCTTAGATGATTTATCCAAAAGCTCTGCCCATGTTTATTCAACAGTCGCTTATTAGAAGACACATTGAGTCCTCCGATAGTCATCGGCTTGGCTTCAGACGGCGGTGGTCCGGCCCGGGGGCCGTGCCCTGACCGCGGCCGAGTGACCCCAGATGTCCAGACGGGAGCGCCGGGCGGGCGCCTCGGCCAGGCCCCACRGGGACCCCGCGGCGCGGCTCCCGTTACCTCACGGCAGGGTGAGCCCAGCGCCGCCCGGCCGGACAGATCGCCCCCGAGCCCAGCCGGCGCCCGCAGCTCCCGCCCCGACGGCCCTCGGGGGAGGCTGTGGGTGGCAGCACCTCCGGGGGGGATACGGCAGTGCCTCGCCAGCAGCATCCCCTGCGCCGCGGTGCCCCTCCGCCCCGTCCCTGCCCCGGGGCCCCGGCGGCGCTCGCCCCAGTACCGGGGCTCTCCGCGGCCGGACGGACCGACGCCGCACTCGGGGGAAACTTTGGCCCCGCCGACCTCCTCCCCCGGCCCCGCACCCGCACCGCCCCCGCTCCGCGGAGCCGCGGGAGCCGCGCAGGGCAGCCGGGGGCGGACGGGGGAAGGAGCGGAGCGGGGAGCAGCAGGGGCAGGGGAGCGGGGCGGCGCGGGGGCGGAGGGAGGGGTTTCTGCGGGGGTGTTGGTTTACCTTGGAGGTTCTGCACTCGGATGTCGCTGATGTGCCCGATGAGCTCCTCGCGCTGGAACCAGTCCCACTCCTGCCCGGCCATAGGGACGCGGGGCCGGGGCCAGGGGGGCGGCGGGAGCCGGCGGCACCGCCACCGCCGCCTTCACCGGCACCGACGGCGGGCGCGGAGAGGAGCGGGCGGGGGGGCGGCCCCTCTCCGCGCCGGCTGCGCCCCGCCCCGCGTCCCTCCCTCTTCCCGCCCGCCGCCTGCCTCCCTCCCTCAGCCCGCCCGGCCGGGGGTGGCGGGGCGCTGGCGCGGGGCGGAGCGGAGCGGGCGGGGGTCCGGCCGTGCCTCCCGCCGCGGGCATCGCCGCGCCCGCCGACCCCTCCTCATCTCAGCGGCGGCGGCGGCCAGGCCCCGYACGGGCCTCGCACGGGCCGCGCACCGGCCTGGAACCGGTCCCACACCGGCCCCTCACCGGCCGCACACCGGCCCTTCGRCTGGGCCCCGCTCCGGCCGCCCCCTCGGGCGCGGGCGGGTCCGGCCCCGGCGCTGCGGGGACCCCGCGCCCGTTCCGCCGGAGCGGCCCCTGTGCTCTTCCACATAAAATCGTGTTTATTGCCGGGGGTGGAGGGGCGCTTCCTCTCGCCGTGCCCGGGGACCGGAGAAGGGTCGTCCCTAGAATAAGTGTCATGCGCCCACGACAGCAATGGAAGAACAAATGTATGAGCAGCAGAAGGGTTTTCCTCGTGGGATGAAATCAGTGCCACTCTAATTAAAAACACGGATAGCTGCATAGTGATTTAGCTTGTTATTGGTCGTCTGTTCAGGCTCTCAAATTTCCTTTGAGGTGAATTTGAACGTTGAATGCCTTCGTGTACCCTGGTTTTCATCCACCTTGGACAGTAATTGTTACAGTSACTCCTCGGTGTCACTGAGATCTGTTCCCTACAAACCTGGTGSACAACTTGAGCATTCATTTGCATACGAGGTGTTTCATTGCAATATACCACTATTTGTACTTTGGTGCCGGTAAACAGAAAATTTTGACGTGATCCAGTCAGACCAGTACAACATCAAGAGTTAGACTAGCAAAACACACAAGCAAGATCTACAAAGTTAAATATAAACAAACTGAGATCTAGAAATTGTGGCTCTTTCAAGTCTGAAGTGTTTATGTGATCCCAAGTAACCTCTCCATACAACCAGTTGTTTCACCCAGCTCAGGAATGCAGTGCTCTTCCCACAGTCTGCTCTGGTGATTTCCCTGCTACAGCTCAAAATCAGATGGAGATGGTATGAAGGCAAAGTCATCCCTTAAGCATCTAGTAAGGATTCATCACCATTATAACATGCAGCAGTCAGCTATCCCAAAATGCAGTCTCCAGTAGTCTGAGGTAGTCTTCACCTGTTTACATATCAAGATTGGTAAGTTTTGCACAGGCGTAGGGACACATTAATGCCATGACGAAGAATTTATAAATCTGAATGTAAGGAGCAGAAAAAACAATTTGTGAAAAAGAAAAAGCGTCTGAAGTTGGATAGATTTGCACAAATCACTATGCCAGACTTTTACTTCATTTTACACTGGGAGGACCTGTTTTTTTTCAGAAGTTACCCAAGTAGGCTGAATGCATCAGTACCACATTTAGAGCTGGAGCTGCAAACCAAGCCCGTGTGGCTGTGGGAAAAACAGGTGAATGACTTCACAGCAGCAGTTGAAATACTGTCTGCCAGAGGTGGCTGGATATGCCTAATCCATACTGCAGCTCGAAGCAGGACTACTCCTGGCGCTGGATGGCAACAGCTGAGACTTTGTCCCGTTGTGTGTGAGCATCCTTCAGGAGCTGATGGGAGGTCATGAACTCTCTAAATAGCCTTTCCCAATCTGCGCTGACCTGCTTGTGAGACCTCTGAGTGGCTGTTTGYTATGGTCAGCATGCCAGCTGGACAAAGGGTGGTGGTATGAGATGCAGGCAAATGAATGAGGAGAAGCAAACTAATCTGCAACCTTCAGCAGCAGAGTCATAGACTCACAGGTTTGGAATTGTTTAGGATGGAAAAGTCCTTTAAGATCATCAGGCCTAACTATCTAACACTTTCAAGGCCACCCCTAAGACATGTCCCTGAATGGCACATCTACGAGTCTGTTAAACTCCTCCCAGGGATGGTAATTCCAGCACTTCCCTGGCCAGCCTGTTSCAATGCTTGACAATCCTTTYAGTGAAGAWTTTTTTCCTAATATCCAGTCTAAACCTCCACTGGCATAACTTGGGACTACTCTCTTGTATCACCTGTTAGTTGTGRGAAGAGAGCAGCCCTCATCTTGCTACAATCGCCTTTCATATAGTTGTAGAGAGCAATAAGGTCCTTCCTGAACCTCCTTTTCTTCAGGCAGCACCTTACAAGACTCGTGCTTCGGACCCTGCACCAGCTTCTTTGCCCTTGTCTGGATATGCTTCAGCTCCTCCATCAACTCAGTGTCTTTCTTGTAGTGAAGGTCCCCAAACTGAACAGGATTCAAGGTGCAATTGCACCAGTGCCACGGTACAGAAGGACAGTCACCTCCCTGGTCCTGCTGGCCACACTTTTTCTGCTGTAACTCCATGCTGCCAGCCTCACCTGAGCTGTGATGTTATAGCTGTGATTCATTGTTCTTKCAGATTTCCCTAGAGCTAATTACTGCCTTTACCCTCCTCCTTGTCCTCATGTAAGAGCTGCCCAGCTCCACTCTCACGGTGGGTGAGGGTGCAGCCCATGTCACTGATGTCTCCAGGCCTGCCAGGTAGCTGCACTTGACCTGCATAGTCTGGGCCTCAGAGTCAGGCTGGGTTTAAGATGTAAATGATTAACAGTGTGGGCACCGGGAAGTTAAAACTTCCGCTTAGAGAGAGGAGAAGGCATTAAACCATTATTACCTGGGAAAACACCTGCTCTATGCTGCCCTGTCCTCTGATGGCAYGATGACAGAGACTGGGTTGGTCCAGGAGGAGCACAGGCTGGGGCTTCCGGCCCTTCCTGTGCTGATGGAGGTGAAACCATCAGCATAGCAGCCTGCCCTTCTCCTGCYATTGAGTCAGGCAGGATTTCAGACCAGGGCTCAGCCCACCTGCCAGGTCTGACCACTCCATTGTCTAGCCCAGCACATCAATATAAGCTGCACCAGCCTCATCTTCCGTTAATACCCCGGGCCACGAGGTGCTGTGAATGAAAAACCTKATCCAGTTTTGCTTAGCTGTGCAGGAAGGCAGCAGCCATGCCACCTGTGTTGGCCATCTGAGACTTTCAGATGGCTCTTCAGTACCTCCCCAAATCAGCTTTGTGGTTAGCAGAAACCCTCATTATGTCCTCTGAGGTAATTGTAAAAAACATTGCACTATATGCAGAGCAAAGTGTTCCAAAATGAGAAGGTATGGCTCTAAAGTTGTAAAGACATTAAAAAATTGAGATCCAACAGGGCATCCCTGTTTTCTTTAAATTTTTGCATTCTTCCCCGCAACCAGGGTTCTGTGAATCAGCTCAGCAAGAAAGTATGAAATCTGAGATTGTCGTATAAAGCTAGAACACCAAACAGTATGTTACTTGTTGTAAATTCTGTAAAGGCTTGTGGAAGTTATCTGTGAAAATACTATATGCCTTCTAGGAAGTAACTGATTGTATGCAGTGAGGAGTAAAGAACTTCTCTTAAACAAAAAGTGATTTCAGAATTTATTAACAAAGTCCACTTGCCTTTTCATCTGTAAGGACTATTCTATAACTGAAAAAGCAGGTTAGATTTAATTAAGTCCCTTGGCTCAGACTTGTTACTTAGGGCAACGCTGTAAACACTTGGCAGAGGCTCTGAACTATAATAGCAGGTTTATTAAAAAGAGAGTTTGGTCACATATGAGAAGGCAGGGAGTCTGATAGGAAGTTCGTGGGGAACCTACCACTTTTCTGCATAGCCTTTATCTTTTCTTTTTTTTTTTTTTTAAGTGTATGCAGAATAAAGATGTTAAAAAGCTTTTCGTTTCCTATCCTTTGCCTATCTTACCTGTGAGTGATTTAATGAGAAGAATATTCAGTTTGAGAAGAAAATTTGCACTTGAAGGTTGTGTAATAGTAAGAACAAAACCATCAAATTCTACAGCTCAGCTTTGTGCCTGTCCAGATGGAGGAGGCCTTATGGCTCCTGCTAAGATGGCAAAGGAAGGTGTCTGACACAAAGGAATCTGTTTCTGAAATTAAGGAAGATATTTATGCCATTGTAGCTGATTTGTTTTGCCTTTATTAACAGAATTCTCCATATGAACAGTCATTCTAGGAATGAATTATTTCTAGTTGTTTTTTTTTTTTTTAATAGTTCCAGACCAATGGTGATCAGAAAAAGGTGTTGTCTGTCTTGCAATAGGTGAAAATCCAACACAAACCTCAGAGATGTGTGACTTCCTATCCAGGCATTCCTCGGCCTTCCATGGCTGCTCTGACCAAAGAGCTACAAAACACTGATCCTTTCTAGACCTCCCTCTGCCTGCATTCCGAAAACATCCCTGTTGAATGCCACAGGTCTGCAAGGCCTTTCTCTGCCCATGACAAACAGTGTTTCGGGAAAGGTGCTGGACATTTGGGTCCTGGCCCTCCACTACTGGCATAGTCCTTGGGTGTTTGCATGCTTCTGGCTTGTTAAAGGGGCTGCAGAGAATGTGAGTATCTCACTCAATTTTTAATCCTTTTACTTTTTCTGAAGTCTTATAGGAAGAGGACTGAAAATAGATGCTGTCTTACCCTACAGCTGAATGAGAAAARGGGAGGAAAGTTAAAATCTGTAACACAGGAAAGTAACCCACATYCTTATTTAACTCTCATACTTGACAGATACATTACAACCTGTCTTGAGTGGCCAATCCATTTCAAGGCAATAATCATGACACTGTGGGTCTCATCAACACTATATTTTCCATGTTTAGCCCATATCTGAAATACTGAGGAGGGCCAGCCAGGAGAAAAGACTCATTAGCTCTCCTGGGTGAACAGGTAAGCGAAGATTTCATTTCTATTACCCTGTCTGACAGCAGCCACCCCTTAGTCTGGCTCCTCTGCCTACACACATGTAAACAATGGGAGGGGTACCATGTAAAACAGACTTTCAAAGAAAACACCAAAAAAGTCAGGAGAGAAAAAGACAGTCTAAATCAACAAAGTAAACAGGAGACACTGAGAAAAATATACTGT